CTTCAAAACGCATGCCGCATCCAGTAAAAAATATTGCAAAGTTCAAAAAAAATTATCCACGAAGTTTTTTTTTCGACGCCTCAAATTTTTTTAGAAAAATAATCCTGGCCTTTGACCTATCTGCGACATTAAAAATCGGCGACGAGGAAATTGTCGGCAGATAGTTTTGACATTTTTGTACGGAGTTTCAAAGTTGAAATATTACGGCATCATGTCGAGATAAAAAATATGTCATCGTAGCTATACTTTTGTTACATACTGTATGTATGTGCATAACAAAAAAAATATGTAATATAATCGATAGAAAAGTGGGCATTTGCATGTTTGAATATATTGCGTGTGTTTATCTTTATATATGTTGTTACGCAAATGATTCACGGATAATGTAAATATATGTAGATGCAAATATACATCAAGTTTTGTACAATGAGAGAAATACATATTCTTAGCCAAAGGTTTCGTTTGGCCAAGCTTTAGTTCATTATATTTCCATGCAAATTCCGAACTCGACTAAATCCAAACCTTTTCCTTCATTTTATGAACTTATCATTGGTTTCTCCCGTTTATTTTGCCACAGCGGGCCAAGTTTTTAGTGTAAATTTTCCTGAACTTCTGTATTCTCAATCAAAAATGCTTAAATACTTACATAGATACGTTAACCTTGTTTTGGAGCTACGTCCAATAAATTATGAACAGCTGCAATATTATAAAATGCAATTTCTTGTGATATGTACAATACATACTGACAAAGATATATGCCGTTGGATCAATGTTCTAACCTTTTTTTACCATTTCGGGTAAAAAAATGTGTAAAAAGCAATTAATTATTTACTAGACGACAAATAGGAATGGAAATACATATCGAAAAAAGGAACCCCGGGTAACTTTATCCTACTCTTCAATGGTTTTTAACGAACCTTTCGTCGGATGAACTACAAATTATGTATGACCCAATTAACGTCTGCACAAAATCGGCAAGGTAAGGTTCCATTTTGGTTGAATAGAATATGTGCATACGTACATATCTGCATCAATGAAGTAAGGTGGACGTCACGGCACTTCATGGGAAAGAGATGGTTTAATGATCCAAAGGAATGTTGCATAATCAGTAACGTAGGGCATTGGGAAAGTTTAATAGCAAATATAATTTCCGTTAGAGTTCCGGATTAATGTTCAGAGGGCGGATATGTATGTATTTCTAACTTTTTCATACCAAACCAGATCGTACTTAAACTTCGTCTACTAACATCCCATCTAAGTACGATCCCAAAAATTCAAACATAGTTTTACATATTTTACATATTTTGGGGTTTTCGTACATATACATATTTTCATACATATTTTCAAGTTTTTTCCTACATACATGCATATATGCATATATCCCTACAGACTTCGAATCTTTTTCTAAATATAAATATTTCAATATATGCTTCGAGTTTTTTATGCAAAAATATTTTTCTTCATTAAGAAATTAAGAATTTCTTAAAATTACATTGTCATGATAATCGGTTGTCAATTCGTGTGAACGATGTGCAAATCCAATTTTCTGCATTTTTCAAGCCAAAAATTACACTAGAAAGTTTCGAAAAGAAACTGGTCTCGCATTTTTCGTCATGAAATAAAGATTCAAATGTAATTCTGACATAATTCACTTATAAGAGTGTTAAAAATTTGAATCATCTCAAATATAAAATATATATAAAGCAGGAAATTTCATTTGCAAGGCCCTATGGCTCAGTGGAACGAGGGTAGGATTGTCACCACGCAGTCACACGTTCGATTCCTCTGGCCGGGAAGCTATTGCTAATCCTACTCGGCTCGGTGTTAGTACGGGGTAGGTGCTGTCTCGTGACAGGGTGAGCCCAGCCATACGGAATGGCAATGTCACTGTGCACAGCCCCTAGCAGAGTCCGTTCTCTGTGGGGATGAGACAACTTGCTACGAAATTATGGCAAGAAGTCGCCATCTGAGGCTGAAAAGCAGAGAAATCTGAGTCCTGGCGATGTAAAACTGAGACATTTTAACATTTTAACATTTAGAAAACATTTTTTATGTGCATATTTTCGAGATTTTTAAGTACATATTGCATACATATTTTGAGGAATTTAAGTACATACATATCCGCCCTTTGTTAATGTTACTAAAGTGTTGACTCAATATTCATTCATTGAAGTGTAAATTCTATTCGCAGAGCACGTACAGTTTACATTTTATATTTAGGAAAACTAAACGACCAGGGATTTACAAATTTGTCTATATCCGAAATCAACAAAAATATTAGTTTTGTCCATACTAGAGATGAAATATCTCCTCAAACTTATGCCCGGCTGGAAGAGATCCAAAAATGACGTAATATACAAAAGTACCTACATACATAATACATTTGTACGTATAATAATCAACCCCAATGTTTATGTTCGCCACAAAATGTGATGGATGAATTTGTGGTATTTTTACTAGCGGTGGTGGATTTTATGTAAATAATACACTTGGTAACGTAATCTTTGTAAAAATGTAACGACTATTCATTTATTTACACTTTTTGACATGTTACATACAAATATTTAATGCATGCAATATTATTATTGTTGATGGGTAAGTTGATATTTTACATTTATTATTAATTTTGATTTAAATTGACAGGCGTGTATGTATTATCCCTGTTCCTTCGCACTTGAGGTAAGCTGAGGTTAATTAAAACACTTTCGTACATATCAGCGTTTGCTTTAGCACGTTGATTTTTTGGACCTGTGTTGGTGATGGTGACCGTTTATATATGTAAGGTCGGACGCGAAGAAACACGGCCTATGGGACCAGTGTCGCAGTTATTTTGGTCCTTCCGAGAATTGACGGTCTTATAACTAAATATGTAATATGCCTAAATCTTTGAACACAGTGGATGTATTTATACTGCATGCACTGGTGTGCGTTAGAGGGAGGGAGGGAATGTGAGACTGCTGCATTTAATGTACATATGTACAGTGAGAGTGAGTCGAGGAAGTTTTCTCATTTCACTTCGTCCTATCCATCATATACATACGATTCGTAACAATACATATGTACATACGCAATTCATGCATACGCTTACATGCGGTCTCAATTTCCTCACATATTACGCATCATATTTATATACATCTTTATAAAGATTAACATTCTAAACACCTGATCGTTTTTTGTCTACACCCTAAATGAGTATGGTCATAAATAATTTCATGTCAGTCATTTTTGCTACATTTATTAAGTTCTTATTATCCTCCTAAGGTTGGACATATGTATATATTTTTATGACGGATAGTTTTAACAAATGTGTACGTATTTTGTAGACACAGATATCGAAATGAGGCTAATTTAATTACACCCAATTAAATTTTATTTGTTAAGATGCTACCAGTAAACATGTAAACCTAACAACTAAAATACCAATATTCCTCAAAAACCAATACGGTAATATTTTATTCTCAATGGCAGATTGATTTTGATTTTAATTTTAACCTTAATTCTAATTTACTTATTTATTTGGTGTAACTTTTTATGCATTTTAGCCTAATGAAGCTAAACTAATAGCGAAAGCGGTCGAATAATTGGTTAATAAAGCAATTCAAAATCCGATCAGTTGGGAATGCCCTTCTTTTAAATTAAATACATTATTCAGAGTCACAAATTTATCAGAAATTGACAAATAAACTATAAGGATTACTCTGTTAAATTTGTAAACGTTTATAACATAATTTTGAACAGCTTTATATCGTTAAAAATATCCCACATACGTATGTACAAACATTCCCAAAAAATTAGATTTACTCTAATCTTGAGTAAATAAGTTTGGAAGAGCTGAGAGAGCTGAAATTTGAAACATACCATTAACCAATGGATTTAAATAGATTGGATTTTTGCCAAAATAATTCAAAAACTTGCTACCAAAATTTGGTACGATGATCGTCGTACTAAGCTTTTCTAACAATGCGATGGTGTGAAGTGTAACCCTCCGATTTGGTTGAAATTTCGAAATTATGTGGTCCATGTCAATACAACCAACGTTTCTTCAGGCAATTCGTGCGATGGTCAGAATTTGGCAAAATTTTTGAGGTCAAAGTTGGAAAATGTGCAATTTTTAGCACGGTAAGAGAATGGAAGTTGATTTTGCTTCCTCCGCCTGGTAAATATCCCCCGTTTTACAACTTTGACCTCAAAAAGTTTGCCAAATTCTGACCATCGCACAAACTGCCTCAAGAAGCATTGTTTGTATTGACATGGGCCACATAATTTAAAAATTTGAACCAAATCGGAGGGTTACACTTCACACCATCGCATTGTAAGTTTCAGTGTCCATGTTACTGCAAAAATGAAATTTTTAAGCAGTTTTACTGCCCACATTACTAATCTTAGTTCACCAACAATACTAACAGAAATTGATTCTTGCTCATTTTATTTATACATATAACCTGCATATCATCATGAAAAGTAAAACAAAACAAGACACATCCAACGTTTTTGTCATACATAACCAGGTGCATTAAAATGAAATCAATTTGATTACCTGGCATGATCTTGTCATCCACATCATTTTCAACACGCATTGACATCATGACACTATAGCAAGTACAACCAGTCATCGTTTATTTTAAGTATTGTGTCGTTTACGTATAAAATCCAATTACACAACACACACTATTTCGGCTCGTGATTTATATCAACCGATAAAACATTTTGCACACGACACCTTAAGAACTTGAACATTCCTTGCTTTGATTAATTGAATGCAAATCGTTCATCATACATATGAGTTACGACTGAATAGCAATATATCACAACACCATGGTTGAATTATTCCAATAAAGATCTTCTCACTTTGGAGCTGCCAAATTATTAATTGTTTATTTTTCTGATAAGTCACTTATACATATGTATGGCTGTCACAATTTAATTAATTACTGTTTGAATGACGTGACATACAATTGATAACATACCAACGAATGAGCATTTATAAATAAGTGCAAGTGCAAAACCATACTATTTGCCAACCTGGGCACCAAGGGAGTCGTTGTCAATCTGTAAAAATGAAGGTTATACAGGCCACTATATTTTTGGTGGGCGTTGTACTTTTTGCTTCGCAAAACTGCCACGCCCTCCAAGCGCGTGGCAAACATGCTTCCAGTCAAGAGATTTTGAGTGTTCTTAAAGACTGCGTCGTTAGCTCAGGATCTAATCCTTCAGACATTGTCGAATATTTAGTTGATGATCTTGCGGTATATACTGAGCTAAATTACCAGTGGAATCTTATCCATGAAAGAAAGTATCCTCTTGGATATTTCACCGTAAGGAATGCCAATGACGTACAAGCTGCCGTTCGCTGCGCAACAGCACAGGTTAGTATTAATATATGTGGTGGCTTTATTGGTTTGTGCAATTTAAAAGTTCCTAATTAATATATCTTTCCACATATTACTATGTTTAGGGAGTGAGGATTGTTGCAAAAGGCGGTGGCCACTCCTACGAAGCATATTCATTTGGAGACACTGGCGCATTTATAGTGGATCTACGACACATGTTTGAAATGTATGTCAGTCCAGATCGTCAATGGTTTAGCATTGGTGCCGGAGCCCTTCTTGGACAAATTGCTTATCCACTTCTCGAACAGTACAACTTATTAACACCCCACGGAACGTGCCCTACCGTTGGTATTACTGGATTGGCAACAGGCGGAGGTTATGGTTATATGTCCAAACTATTTGGTCTCACCACGGATAACATTTTGGAAGTCGAAATGGTAGACGCTGAGGGATCCCTGCTAGTTGTTAACGAGCAGACCTACCCAGACTTGTTTTGGGCCCTTCGTGGAGCAGGGTCAGGTTCCTTTGGGATAATCACAAAGCTTAGTTTCAAGACATACGAGGCACCAGTGTTGGTCACCGCTGGCGAAATTACGTACCCATTAAGCCAGTTCGTCCAGGTCTTTATACAGTGGCAACTTCTCGTTCGGGATTATTTAACTTCTAGAGACATGAACACAAAGTTGGCCATAAAGAACGGTATCCTGATAGTTGAGGCGTTTGATATTCAGGTGTCAGATGACAATGTAGAAGACGCAATAGAACGAGTTCAACACATTCTTAATAAATTCCCCGTTACGTCACTAAACAGCACATCTGTCATTGCTGACAGATATGTCGACTTTATATTCCGCACATCACACCCAAATGATGTTGGAATTGAGGATCCCAGCCAGCTCCCAAATGTTACTAGGAATATGTTTACTAGGCGCAATTTCCATGCAAAATCTTTCTTTGTTAGGTAAGCAAGTTACTAGTTGAAAAACGATGCTGGTCAGCTAATCTGTTTGATAATTTGCAAATTTATCATTTATATTGGATATTTAGTAACCTACTGGAGCTTGCGGATGCCATGGCATTGTACAACCTCCTTCTTGAGACAGTAGAGGATATCAAGGACATCATCATAGAAATGTATGCCTTTGGGGGTGCAATCAACGACAAGACCCCTCTGGACACGTCATTCAACCATAGAAACGGAATCCTATACTTGGTGCAAGCCTTCTACAATGCGCAGGACACCATGAACCCGTCTGAACCCTCGTTGGACTGGCTGGCGAGGTTTTATGAATTGACCAAAGTTAGGTTTCGCCACACACAATCCTATCAGAATTATGCTGATGGAACAATGCCAGATTATTTGGAGCGTTACTATGGTTCCAACCTTGATGGATTAGTACAGATAAAACGCAAATATGACCCCCGAAACATTTTTCATCATCCCCAGTCAATTCCCATATAATTTTACTTTTCACGAAATTTGGTTAAACTAAATTTGTTTTGGTTAGTGTTTTATTTGACAAATGTAATTAAATAAAGTGAAGTGCATTGCCTGAGAACTTGCAACTCGAAATCCATCTCAATCTAACTGCGATTTATGTACATACATAAATATCGTGCAACATGAACTTAATTACACGTTAGTATGTTCTTAGGAAAGTATCCCGAATCAAACCATCCTACGTTCACGAGTAGTCGCGTAGCCATGGAGGGTAGGTGGGCCAAGGACTTGGAAAAAATAAAAATGTGCATAACAAAAACTTACCAAATTCACAACTTCCAATACAAAATTAAAACTCGAAAATTGGTCTAAGAAATGTTTAACAAGGTGTGGCTACTCGCAGTCAAATGCACCGCTTATCCGTCTTAACTTAAACTTAATCCTCAATTGGAATTAAGTTCAAAAATTTAGTTTCTTTGTTGGTTTATATAATAAGAAGTACCTTCAGTTGCCAATCTCATGCCCACCTGGTTGAGGAAAATTAATAACTTTCATTTCCAATTCAATGTTTGAATATGATACATAACTTGCTTAAAAGCATGCATTCCCAGGCCGGGCACCTGGTACAGACTTTGATGACGGGCAGGCTGCCCGGTATCACAATTACACGGAAAATGCATGTAAGCATGTTATCAAATTAGCGGATTATAATCTGATCGGAAATTCGACGGATCAATCCTAATCGAATCGGACTGTGTTTGATCCGAATCGGATTAATCTGAATACTTGCTTAATCCGATCCGACGGATTGCTGCTCCTAAGTTTAATGGCTTTTCTAATTTCCAACTTTGCAACAAGTTAGCAATGGACTCCAAATCCATCAGCTTTTTCTTCTATAAAACATACAAACTAACTTCTTCCACTCTAAAATTAGTTACCTTGTGCCTAGTCACGCATATTTAAATACAGTCATTCGTGTAAAGGTCAGAACAAGCTTTTACAATAAATAAGTTTAGGTAGCAGTCAGCACCCGATGTGAATAAGTTATTTCGTTGGATTTGAAATGCGAATGGCTTCGATTTTAGTTATTTAAGCACATTAACAAAATTGAAAAATGTTGGTGCTTACCTTACTGGTGGCGTCATTTTTTAGTGGAGTATATTTGCAATAGTTATATAGCCACTAAATACGACGAATATGCAAAATTCAAAAGAGATATCAAGCAAGAATTTTTATTTTTTGAAGTTAGGTTCCATAATTCATAGATAAATCCTTTCCCAATCTGATTTTTTGTTGAAAACTTTGTACATATCTATAACTTGGTTTCATTTGGGCTGTTTTCATTCGTCGTATTTAGTGGCTACAGAGAAATCTACAGAGAAATCAATTCTAGTAAAAAAAATAGGTAACCAGTAAGGTAAAGAAAAATGTAAGGTAAGGACCAACATTTTTCAATTTTGTTAATGTGCTTAAATAAGTCCAACGAAATAATACATAATTTATTCACAACGGCTGATATCTGGTTTTTTTGACTGGAGTTTATTTCTCAGTAGTTATGTATATAGCCACTAAATTCGACGAATGGAAACTGCCTAAATGAAAACCAATTTAACATGCAAAGTTTTGAACGGAAACATTAGATTACCATATGAATTACATACGAATTAAGGAACCCAACTTCAAAAAATAAAGATCCTGTCGTGATATCTCGTTGGCATTTTTCACTTCATCGCCCCTTCCTAAGCACAATTTGTAGTCATTTGTCATAATGAGGGTCATCATTTGGTTGCCTGTAAATTTTATCCTATTTTTGTTCGTTTTTGCGCCGCCAAATCAAAGTCATCCAGAACCTTTTCAAATTCCCAAATTTCTGAACAAGGCTCCCTCCTGTGACATCCAAATCATCCGAAGTGAAAGTCAGCTGTTAGATTTCTCTCCGAGTTTTTCCCGTCCAACAACCGTCATCGTCGGAAAGTCAACACAAAAAAATCTTGCAGAATTCTTTCTGCATTGGGTAAAATTGGGCTTTCGTTTCATAATTTCACATTGAGCGCGATGCAGCTGCGACCCGGGAACTGTAAAATTAGCCTATCTTTCCACACAACCCGAATGTTTCCTTCTTCTCCGCGGGGTAACGGATTCGTGAATGCTGTACTCGGTATCCCAGTTGACCGCTGGATAGGATTCAACGGAAAATTTATACTTTCCAAAGACGTGATCCGAATTCTGGTGGCACCACCTTCCTCAAGTTTTGAATCATTTCATCTCGTCGATCTATTTTACCACTTTCGGTATTTACTGGTCGTGTTTCCCATCCGGACGGGTGTCTATCAATTGTGCAGCCAGAGAAGGTGGCAGCTCCACCCTACTTACAAGGCCCTCTCTTGTGTTGTCATGGAAACGGAGGAGCTGTGGACCCACTCCAATCTTAATGCTTACTTTGAGGATGCGAAATATTGGAGAATGATTATATACGGAAGAAACGTAGCTAACCCTTTCACATCGATTGATGAAGAGGGATTCCAGTGAACGGCGGGTTATGTTATCCGGGAGACGGCCCGGGTGAGAAATGTGAGTGTGCGACCCTATAACTCTGATTCAGCTCCAATTATACGACTTGACAGCTATCGGGCTGACACTTCAATGGAAGATTGGAGGCTACGTTCCTATCCCGTCCGATTTTCTGGGAAGAAATTCATCTCCTGTTACACCGTCCCTTTCCTGTCTTTCCAATTTTACTTGAGCCCATTTAGGCCAGATTTGTGGGCGGGTATTGGAGTAAGCCTTGCCCTGCTTGTGAGCTGCCTAACGGTCTATGTTAAATACGTGTTTGGAGACACTTCCATCTTCTCTCCTTGGTTATTTATCCTAGCAACGCTATTCGAGGAAACTATTTCCACTCCGTCAAGCGTGGAAAGGAGGAACTTTTACCGTCTCACCTTTGGCCTCTGGGCTCTTATGGCTACATTTCTAACAAACTGTTACAATGGGGTTATGATTGAAAATCTTGTAGCCCCACTTCCCGGTGTTGGGGTTGAGCGTTTTCAAGATATTGCTTGCGAGCAGGGAAAAAGGATTGGTGATCCGGCAGACATTTCGGCCTGGATGAGGGTGTCAGGAATTGATACGTATTGGGAGCAGTTATTTAGCCATGGTCCGATGTCCAATCCTCTTGAATCTCCAAATTGTTTTCGACTCCTTTCCGAACCATCAGCTCGAAGTCCGTGGGGCGCGGGGAATGCATTTTTTCTTGAGCTAAAAGATCTGTGGTTGCTCATAAAGTTTAAGTCGTATCGGGCTGGAGGGAAAATAACCCCTGAAATCCTTCTCCTCAGCCCCAAACACGGAAGAGAGCTGGAGGATGGAAGTGAACGGAATTTGAGAAAATTCTCTCCAGAATTGTCCAACTTGATATCGGCGGAGGTTGCGAAATGTGGAAAAACAGTTTTTATCGGAAACGAGGACGCAGTTGCTCAAGAGCTTTTGGCCCTTGCTGCAAAATATAATGGGAAGAAGTTTTACACCAGCAAGGATTCTCTGAGGCAGGATCCCATCGGTCTCCTTTTTGATAATTGGGATAAATCGACCCTGATCAGAGATATCATATCACAGATTGAATCCGGAATTTGGAGAAGGTTGGATCAGGAGATGGTGTCTCGAGCATGGCGACTTAGGAAGAAATTTAGCCCTGTGGTTGAGTCGGAGGTAGAAATTGTGGTTCGAATTGGAGGAAACTTTCTTACTGTATTTATCCTTTGTGGGATTCTCCTCACAACCGCCTTTGTATCCCTGGGTGGAGAATGTAGGAGGGAGATTTGGGCGGCTTTGTCAAATTTTGGAGCTTTGATGTGGTGGCGCTTAAGGAATTATTTTCTGACTCATTAGATTTTACCAGTTAAGCCTATTATAGTATTGCGTACAGTATTATTACTCAATGTATATACTTATTTAAGTATGTACGTTTAAATCCACGAAGATGAAACTTTTGACCTAATTACGATATTTTGCACTTTACGTATTGAAATATGAAATAGATGCCGATGAAGCAAGTAGTATTTAAAATACAATAAACCACACACTTCTGGGAGCCAGAATCAATTTGTTTACCTCTTCATTAACAGTCCGCCGTGAAATGCGAAGATTTAAATTATATTTGCTATTTACATCCAGCTAAACATACTAATCCACTGCACCCAACATAATTTTTTTCATAGATTCTTACTTCCCCTTATCACCATTATATATTCTATGAATTAATCTTAAGTGCAATCTAAGCTTACACGGACGTGTTGAAAGCTCTTGTTTCATCATACGTCGGGTCACCTCGGTAGACTTCCTTCGTACACATGTATGTATGAACCTCTACCTCGTTTTTCCACTATATTTCGGAAACTACATAATTAAGGAGACCCATACAATGACAAGGTGATTTTTTCGCGCCCTACCGATTTTGGGGTAAGATACCTCAAAATATTCGTAATTCTTGCAGATCAAAAAACTGCAGTGACATTCCGTGAACTCTAATCGGTTTTCCTGTTAGAGACTAAAATGTGCGAATTTAATATGATTTTTTTCTAACTCCGAAAGGGCTGGGGTCCATTAATTGTGATTTGTTTATAGTTTTTTCTGTCCATCTGTATTTATTAATCACTTAAATTATTTACTATCTACTCATATAATTTTATCCCAAGGTGAGGCGTCGCATTAACAAATATTTTCTGTGTAAAGACTTTAAATCGGGTTACAGCATAAAGTTTATCGCATCCAACTTGCATCTTAAATTTAAAATGTAATAATTCTAAAATTAACGAGACTCCTCCACAACAAATAATTAACACGCACGACACCCAGACAAGTGAAAGGTCGTCCAACCCCATCGCCTCCACCGTTGGCATAACTCCTTTTCTCTTCTCTGCCAACATTAGCCTCGCATAATGCCCCCTCATCGGGGGATCCTCCACGGCAAAAATTGCCTTCAACTGGTCCCCAATATCATCCAGCGTAATCCATCTTTCATACATTCCACTTTCCACAATTGCCCCCCAACTCCTTCCAATCGGACGCTGCCACCGGTTTCGAGAAATCCGCCAACCCTGCTTCTCACTTACCGGGGCAATTGCCGAATTCTTCGA